CTCACTCGGGATAAAGGATAAATTGTATTTATTCAAATTTTATATTTTATATTCGGAATCATTGTTTGCAGAGTGAGTTGGCGGTGTGTTGAAAATTTATGTATTTTCCAATCGAATGATTAGTTGAAAAGAAATCGCTTATTTATAATTAATAAATAAAAAATAAAAACGCGATGCAACGGAACAACCTTTTCGATTGTGTTTGCTTAGATTCTTGTGAACTTGAAACTCAATGATAAATGATTACGTTCATTCGCCATCAATCGTGACTCATGTTCGTCTATATCGTTTTTCCATTGGCAAGAACAAGGAAAAAGAATGTATTTACTAATATTTCATATTCTGACCTCTGCTCGGAACGAAGCTTGCTCGATTCTGATCGGGTGGGTGGTTAACTAATAACCAAGACTAATTGCGAGCGGATGAAGAGATAAGTTGACAGACCGGTTTTCACAGTCGGATGAGATCAGCTTTATAGTAACTAAATCATCATGCCAGCTATTTAGCAAATTGTGCAAAGTGATTTGTGTAGATCCAATACGATCGAATACTCGACTCGACACGCCGTTTCTTTCTTCCAGTTCATCAGTTCATCAATTGCGACGTACATCCAACGTATTTTCATAACCATGAAAGACATCGTTGGAGTAGCGGGTAAGAAAAGGGTTAATTTTCCTTACCTAAGGGGGGAGGGAGGGTAAAACACGAAAACACGACCAATTCAAAACTTGGACTTGGATTATATAATGTATGAACAAATGTAAATTTCAGATAGCAGCGTGGCAGATCAGTAACAAAGTACAAATAACGCGGTGACATTAGTTCAAACTTGTTGTTTTGAAGTTTTCATTTTCTTTGTTTAATCGGACAGTGAACGACAATCGGTCGTCGTGCTTAAAAATCCATAGTGACCGTTTCACGGCAATGTTATCTACTTTTAGGTTACTTGGCGGCTACATACATTGTAATCCTCGCTGTAAAACAATGTAAATCAGAGTCGACAAAATTTCCATCTGTTGCGAAGGCGAACGGAACTGCAGACGCTGATCCTGAGATTCAAGATGTCAACCACAACGGAGATGTATTTGTACCGTATCAAGGAGAAGCCTTCAGCGTGTTTGATTGGACACTTTTTAGAGTAATCGAGCCATCAAGTTTTTAATTACACATCGATCGTTCAATTGACATTTTCACTTGGCATTTTGACAACGTTCAATTCCCATTATCGTAGACTATGAGCAAAAATTCTACCGAGAACATACTGGTCTCGCCGATATCTTTGAAACTCGTATTGGTATTGTTGTACGAAGGAGCTCAGGATCAAAGTGCGTACGAAATCGCTGGCACGATACAATTACCTGCTACGCAAACTACTATACAAAAGAGATTCTCCACTATTTTGCAATCGCTTCAGGTAAATTTCAGGGAATTTTTAATCTCTGAGGAAGAGAGAGAGAGAGAGAGAGAGAGAGAAAATATATATATTTCTTTGAAAAATATCGTATAAGTATATTTCTTTGAAAAATACTTCGTATCTGTCGCAGACCAATCCTCCGGCGTATACCTTGAACGTTGGAACGCGAATTTACATTGATTCGAACATTTCCATTAGACAAAAATACAAAGCCACTGTAAAACACTATTACAACAGCGACGTGATCTCCGCCAACTTCTCTGATGCGCAGCCGCTCGTACAAGCGATTAACAGCTGGGTCAGCAATATTACCGATGCAAATATCGATCGAATGATAGAGGATGGTGAGAATCGAACGACAAGCAGCAACGACAATCGAGCACCTTCAACAAACGAACAACTTTTGCCATTTTCAGAAAACAGCGTGAAGAGTTCGTTGATGTTGATCATGAATACGCTTTTCTTCAAAGGATCGTGGCGCCGGCAATATTTCCTCCCAGAAAACATACAAACCGACAAATTCTATACGATTGACAATCAAACTGTGAATGCACCTTTCATGCGCGCGCTTGGTCGATTTTATTACGTCGAGTCACCTGAATTGAACGCAAAAGTTCTACGAATTCCATACAACGTAGGATAAACACACTGTCTCCTCCGCTTTTTTCCATTTTTCTTGCTCTTGTTTGTCTTTCATTCCTCCTTTCTTCTTACTTTAATTATTTTATTTTAGGGAAACAAATTCGCCTTGTACCTGCTTTTACCACAGACGTCAAATGGAATAGAACATCTTATCAATCAAGTTAATCCTTTCGTGTTGACACGATGCGTGTGGCAAATGCAAGATCTGCCCGTTAGTGTCTCCATCCCCAAGTTCAAATTTCAATTTTCCAGTCACTTGGAACCCATTTTACGTAAGGTATGCTTCTCTCCTTTCATTCTCTTTCCGTTCACGTTCATTTCATTTCATTTCATTTCATTTTATTTTTCTTCTTTTATATTTTATATTCTTTTTTCTTGTTTAGCTTGGTATCAACGATATTTTCGACGACACCGCGACACTAACCGGCATAGCTCAAGCCAAACGAACTTCGCAACACCTTAAAGTTACGGATATTTTGCAAAAGGCTGGAATCGAAGTAAACGAAAATGGAACTACCGCTTACGTGGCTACTGGTAAATTGCCTGCTTCTCCTATCTTCTCAATTGTTTCTCAATTGTTGTGTGCAAACGTGTGCAAAATATTTTTAGAGATTGAACTTGGGAATAAAAACGAGGAGGAGGTTTTCCATGCCGATCATCCGTTCGTATTCTACATCGAAGACGAGTCTACAGGAACGATTATTTATATCGGCAAAATGATGAACCCTCTTGATACAGCCAGAAAAATTACCAGTTCGAGTCAACAGTCACCGTCTACTACTACGTTTAGCCCAGGTATACCAAGTGCAGCTTAATTTCTTCCACTCGGTTTTCGTACCAATGGAACTCGAAAATGAATATGATTGAAGAGTAGGGAACAAACAGTCCAAGTGCCGAAAATCAAATTTTCCAAGAAGAAGAAACTTACAAAACTTTTCTTCAAGTAATCCTCTTTATTTTTTGTACATTAATATAGTTTTTAACATTTAAATGTACAGAAAACCATAGATATGTTTTCTAATATATTCTTTTTATTTTCAAATAGAATATATTACTAAAGCGTATAAATATGTCAGAGTAGATTGAAAAATTCGATCTATTTGGCATTTACAGTGCTTCTTACAAATACTCTTCAATTGGCACTTGTAGGTTTCTCCACAGACGAGTTGGATCTACCCGAGTAATGTCATTCTTTAATTTTAACTATTAATAATAACTACTTATATTAAATAGAAAGAGAAATTTCACTTACATTGTATCTCTATTAGCACGTAGAATATTTTTCCACAGAAAGGGACAAAATTTTTTAATCTTGGTACTTACAGCATCTTCCATAATGACTCTTCAATTATTTTTCTACTAAATACTATAGTAGCGGAGTTTGGCTATTATCCTATAAATAACTTTTTATTAATATCGAAATAATAGTTTTTAATCATTGCACAATCGTACAAATGAACAGCTTTGTATATAAAAAAAAAATGTAGTTAATAAAGTAGAAAAATCTTCTTTTCTTTGTATATCTCTTATACTGCTGCTCTGTATCTACGATATAACGACTGTTACATGTCCTATTACACACAAAGCTTTTTCTCCTAGGCATACTTAAACACTAAGTTTCATCTTTTCTTGTTTCGTGACATTATACGGTTCCTCGATAACTTGTATCAGTGGCAACAATCTTTTTTGTCTTCCTGATTTACACGATGAAAGACATAACCACATATGATTATTAATGTAAAACTATTTTTAGACTTGATCTTCCAAGCAAACTTAAATGCCGAAAATCAAAATAATTTTTTTAATACATACTTTTCACAGGTAAGACAAAATCGAATAATTGAGAGAAATTACATTTGACGTAGCCTTTTCTTTTTTCTTCTTCTTTTTCTTCTTTACTGCAGGCTATGATCAAAAAATACAAAACTGGAAATCTAATAGTAGCACCTGCGAGTGTTAAAGTACTTTTAACAATGTTAATGGAAGGTGCGAATGGCAATACGAGGTCAGAAATAATTTCGGTGTTAAGATTACCGGAAGATCAATCATATAGAGAAAGACTCATGCAACGTATACTTGCATCTTTAAACGTATAACATAAAAGTTCATAAAAATATATGTTTTACGGATGAACACATTTTTTTCTTTTTCTTTTTAATTTTAGAAAAATGAAAATGGCACAGAAGTTGATTTAAATACACGATTGTGGATAGACAAAACCGTACGCGTACTAGATAGTTACAAAGATATTCTGCGATCAAGTTTTCAAGGAGACGCAGAGACTATAAATTTCGCGGAAAAGCAAAGTGCCGCAGATCGCATAAACGAATGGGTTCGTCGTGCAACACGCAATGCTATTTCTTTCGTTTCGTTATTAAATGATGTTCCACCCGATACGCATCTCATATTGACTTCGGTCGTCTATTTTAAAGGGCGTTGGTTAAAATCATTCGATAAAGCGAAGACGAAATTGCAATGTTTCTATATTCCTAATGGAGAATGCCGAAAAACGTACTTCATGAAACACGAATCACTCTACCGATATGCTTATATACCCTCCATTGAAGCGCATGTTGTAGAAATTCCATACTCGGTAAGACAAATATCTCGGATGCAGTCACCAAAATAAATAGGACACGTTTTACCACAATGACGCCAATTTACCAGATGCATTGGCAATTTTTCTAGGATGGTAAAACATCGATGTTAACATTAATGCCAAACTCTAGAGAAAAGGATCCACATCTTCGAATATTATCCGAAGATTTAGTTACCATCCCAGTTTCCGTGATCTTAGCGAACTTAAGATTGCAAGATATCACTGTTCATCTTCCGAAATTCAACATTGAGAATAATCTTGATTTAGTACCTACCCTGCAATACGTATGTATTATTGCACATGAATTTGCTTTCAATAGTGGATTCATTTAGTAAATGTCAGTGTTAAAATTATCTTTCAGTTGGGTATCGAGGATATATTTCAACCTAATACGAATTTCACTAAACTGATTTCCAACGGTTCGATACATGTGACCAGCATCTTGCAAAACGTTAAGTTGGAAATAGATGAAGAAGGAACGCTGGCTGCGGCCGACACAGGTTTTTAAACTTTCTTTTTAAATTTCATTCTCCCAAAACAGTTCACATTCTTCCAAAGTTTTACATTTTCGATATATTGTTACAGAAATTACAGTTGGGTTCCTTTCATCGTTCGGTAACGACGTTAAAATGGACAGGTCGTTTTTGTTTGTGATTATCGATACTGTTTTAAATATGACTTTGTTTTCCGGTCGCTTTGTCGAACCTATTTAAACAATGATTACGTTATGCTATTAAAAATTATATCTTATTTCGGATAAAAAATATTAACAACATAAATAATTTTCGTTGTTAATAAAAACATTGACAGTAAAAAGATAATGTAAACACAAATGATATTTAAATGTTGCATTTAATGAGCGATAAATTCACATATTTGACAGATCCTCTTTTATTTATACAACAGCATACTTATACATCACATATATATACATATATTCATATCTAATATATTTCAATTGATATTTTTCATCTTTATGTTTCATACTGGTGTTTAATATGTTTCCACAGTTTCTGGAATAAAATTGAAAAATGTGATATTACTTTAGACGAACTTATAATTCTCTCTTCTTTTTTTTTCCAGGAAAGATCAATTAGTTGTTACGTAACACTTTTTATACGACAAATAAAATTTCATCAAACTTGTGCAAATAAAATATTAGTTGATACTCGCGTAATTTATTTTTCATGTATTTCATTTACAAATGATCATTATCAAATTATCAAATGCTTTAACAAAAAATATGAAATAAGACGACATTTTCTATATAGTGGAAAATAACTAGATCGGATAAAAAAATAACCAATACTATTTTATATCAGTTTATCATACAAAAGATCAATGTACTTTGAAAGTAAGCAATATTTTTTATTCATCTATTTATACATACCCCTTGATTGACTTGTTCAAATATGTTATCCGCAATCAAATCGAATCCTCTTTCGAATATGAAACAACCCACTAAAATGGACATGGTAAACGTAGAAGTCTTTTTAAAAAGCACGTTATATAGAAAGTTAGCCATTGTCTTTACTTTCGTTACTTTTTCCTTCGAATAAAATTATTAACTTCACAGTATAAATTCCTTTTTATCGTCGATAACAGTGCCGTTACTTTGAAATAGCGATCGAAGCAATGTAAATGTTAAGTTATACCTTGAACAACATACAACACAGATGTATCACTCGATAGAAATTTTTATCATAGATTTTATATTCTGCGGCATTTACAATCGATATTTAATTCAAAATCACCAGTCACTGATAAATCAGCTGTTTTACAACATTAGTAGCAGAAGAAATTATAGAATCGTAAATGTGGTATTCGTTTGTATTGTCATGTTAAATTTGTTTGATATTCGCGCCATCACAGAGCACAAGCATTTGTGTGCGTGACATACGAAATTTCGCTTTAATCAATTTAGCGTGTTTGAAGCGCAACGAGTTAAAAATAAATAAGAAAAGAACTTAAATTGTGCAACACATTTGTTTCACACTTTTTATCTGTGTGTGGTACGAAAGCAAAAGAAATGAGCAGCCACGTCAACGTCTGTATCAATTTCAACTGATAAGCAACTTGTCTTGAGAGTAAGTGACGGTGATCAATGCGCGTCATTCTTGTTAGAGGTTTGTTATTATTCTGTCAGAGGTTTCAGAAGATTTCTGTAAATTTTTCGTATAATGAAACGTCTCGAGAAATTTTTGGCATGAATTCATTATGTCGATCAACATGGAGCCCAAGGAAGATGAAATATCTTTGGATTCCAATATCTCAGAAACATATGCGGAGATGTCGGTTCCCATCGAAAAGGATAACCTAAAAGTGAGGCGAAGGAATATTATTGAAACGATAAACTTCGTATCGAAGGAAGAAGATACTTCTGACTCGGAGAGTAACGTACCGCTCGTAAGAATGTCCGATTCTACGAAGGCATGGTACAATAACATTATACCAGAAATACCTGACATCGCAGAGTTTAGTTTGTCAGGTAAACAAAACGGAGCGTTAAATCACAAAGATGATAACAGTTCATTAGAACGTAATTTTGGTGATACAGAGCCATTGACAAATAGAGAACGAATGAAGATAAGTGTTATTCGTGGAAGCGTCGTCAATCCGAACCTGACATTGGGAGAACTCAAACTACTTGGTTGCAGCAGCGAGGGTTTAGTCAATGGTATTTCATCCCTATGATCGTACATTATTATCAATAAGGAACCTCTCTCTCTGTAGTCTCTATGTAGATAGAGACAATGTAATTGGTAATACAATGTATTGTTGAAATTTATTGTCTATTAGAGACCATATTGTACAAACTTGTTTAAGAGAGTAAAACATAAAATTATAGATTCCTTATTGAAAATAATTTTGTACGGTATAATTAGATCTTGAAGTCATAAAGATGATCTGTAGATGATATACGAAGGATTTTGTGGCCAAAACTATTGCGGCTCTCTGAAGAATCCAATTTTTCTGTAACTGGATTGGAAACTATACACAGCCACATACCGAATGAGATCTATCAACAGATATTGAAGGATGTAGCACGCAGCGGAAGCCATATTTCCCAAGATGCCACACAACACGAGATTGACCATTTTCATGAACAGTTGACGCAAATAATGTGTTGGGTCCTTCATAAGCATTCTGTGTTGAAGTTAGTACTGTATATGCATTTTCATATCATTATAATCATGTTGTAGGCAAAAACTTGTTGTAGGCATGCGTATGTCGATAATACAAAATAAAATAATACGTACTTAGTTATTACCAGGGATATAATGATATAGCGGCAACTGTTCTTCTTGTCATGGGGTTGCAAAATGGTTTGCGTGTACTTGAGAGCATTTCTTTAGAATTCCTTGAAAGATTTATGGAGAAAACAATGGAAAAAGTGAATCAGGAATTATTTTATATATTCGCCCTGCTGGAAAGAGTGCATCCCACTTTGTTAGAACATTTGGAAAAGTTTGTATAATAAATATATACATTATATATAGTAAAAATGTACTTTACATAATGTTTGTACATGAATTATATATTGAATCTATTTTCTGCTATAGTGTAGAATTATTTCCGCATTTTGCATTAGCTGAATACACAACGTGGTACGCGCACAAATATGCGGAAAATAGAAAACTTCTACATAGATTATTTGATTATTTTCTTGGCAGTCCTCCACTGATGCCCCTTTATTTAAGCACTGTGATCGTAGCGTATAGAGCAACAGAAATTTTTAATACTACGCCTGATATGGGTCACACGCATAAAGTTTTATGTACTGTGAGTAGTGTTTAACATCGGTAATATGAATAAAATAAATTTGCTTGATTCCGTTTAGTTTACTTGATAAATTTATATGATTATTATTTTTATTTATAGCTACCAGACGATTTACCGTTTGAAACGCTTCTAATTGAAGCGAAAAATTTATATCGTGAATATCCTCCTGAATCTATAACTAACGATGTTACGGAATATGATCGAAAAAGAAAATGTAAAGAACAGGAATGGAAAGCAAAGGCAGAAGCAAGTCGTCAGGAGAGAGAAAAACAACGTCAACTTAGAATCGTACAATCAACACCAAGAATACCGTATCGTATCAGAAGTTATAAAACGATTACAGTAGTAACAATTTTGGCCCTAGGATTGTATGCCTTTTTAAGATCTTCATCTGGTCTTAACTGACATTAAATGAACTTAATCTATTTAGATAATAGATTGATTTTTTATGTCCCTGAAGCAAAATTCCATTTTATTTATACGCCATTAGCTTGATAAATAATAAGACAAATATTATTGGGTACACAATGAAAATGAAATGGTGTATATGTGATATCAAGGACTTGATAATCTTATTAATCAGCGATTAAATAAATTTGTTTCTAAATGTGTTGTAAGGAACATCTTGAGCATTCCTGTGCTGCCTTTATGCTGTGTTCTTTGAAGTTGATATGAACTTTTGTGCACATATATTTAGTGTCAGAAATGTAAACAATGTCATGATGGGCGTAAGTGAATGGGAGGAATGGAAGGAACAAAACATATGTATGCTTGTAAAAAAAATATCTGTAATATGTATATTTTGAAACATTAAAAAAGAATTTTTAAACACGAAAGATATATTTGTTGTTTAAATTATTATTGTGTCTACAATCTGTGATGCAACTATGTAC